AACTAATGAACCTGCTTGAGAATTACCCTAAAAAAATCTATTCCATCTAGGGGCTTCCTTTCCCTTCAAAACACATCTAACATCCAAAACCTCGAGCCCAATCTCAGCTACATTTCAAAGGGAGGTAGGGGCATTAATAAAGGAATGCCTTTTTCTTGGTTGGAGTTGTAGCTCTGTCGGTGAAAGTCTAAAAGACTTTAGACACTGGGAAACTGCAGTTCTCAGAGACAGCTAGTGCTTTGTGCTGGATACCTTCCTGTGGAATCGCCAAGGTGTACCTGGGAAACTAGACGAGATTGGCAACCTTTGCTTGGCGCATGCCAGTCAGCTCAGTTCTGCAAAGGTGCCAGGAGCTGGAGGCATTCCTAAGACTGGAGCGAGGAACTTGGTGGGTGGCCTAGACGGGAGCCTGGGCTTGGTAATAGAAAGACACAGAGATGGAGCTTCTGGCCATGAGAAGCTGCTGAGGGAGATACTCAAGCTCCAGGGACAGAGGCCAGTCCACATCAAGACTACCTAATCACTGCAGCGAGTCAGCCCAGGTGCCAGCCTAACCCTATAAATAAAGAATCTTGGCTTGTCAGAGGGAAACCCTTATTCTCCCAGGGAGTGTGTTACAGATACACAGATGAGCACAAAGTGAAATACATCAAAGGTGTGGGTAACAATAAAATTCAGCGTACATACAGTGATTAGAATTGCTCAAGTGCTTTCCCATAAATGATTGCTTTTCCCATAAGTGAATCTTCACAGCTCCAGGGATGGAAGACAGGTAGATGTTTTTTGTTGTTGCGTGTTTTTTTTTTAATATATTTCTTTATTGATTTCAGAGAGGAAGGGAGAGGGAGAGAGAGATAGAAACATCAATGATGAGAGAGAATCATTGATCAGCCGCCTCTTGCACCCCCACTGGGGATCAAACCTGCAATATGGGCATGTGCCCTTGGCCAGAATCGAACCCGGGACCCTTCAGTCCGCAGGCCGATGCTCTATCCACTGAGCCAAACCAGCTAGGGCCATACAGATGTTTTATTAATATTATTTGTGGGCCCACCTTTTACACTTGATGGGAGACTAGAAAAGAGATGTTAAATGAAAACTATCATGCATGTGGGCCACTCAGCACATCTTGAGACCACCCCAGGGAGAGGAGGCCTGATCCCTTCACCTTTCACACAGGAGGCAGCCCATGTTCATATCCTTCATGACCCCAGTCTCCACACAGTGACCTAGCCCTCACATGATTTGGCCAGTTCCCATCTCAGACTCCCAGACATCTTTGTGAACATGTGACTCACTTTGTGGTCAATTAATTCCAACAAAAGCTTCTGCTGGAAGCTGGTCCACCCTCGCTGCTTGACACAGTCGCTGTAGTGAAGAAACATTTGCACAGCTTATGTTTCAAGGCACCTGGCATATATGGCATATGTTTGCTCCCACTCTTAGCGCTATGTGTTTTAACCAGGACCACCTCCCCGAGAAAGGTTGTTTCCCCAGGTAGGGATTTTCCCCTGGAGTAACCCCCTAGTGTTACAGAAATACCATGTACTACTTATGAAGAACTTGGATTAAGACTGTTGGCAATAAATTTGGGACTTGTTGGGCCCACATCTCCAGGGGTCTGCCCACCAGGGAAAGCACCAAAGCTTATACCCCTGGAGATCCACCGGCACAGGGAAGTCCCAAGGAAGGCAAGCAGCGAGGCTGGGAGGACATAAGCTTTACTGGGTTGGATAATCTCCTTCAGTCACTTCCTTGTAGCTTATCAGTAGAGCAGTGACCTTGGAATAGCCCTTATAATGGAACACAGAGATTAACCTAGGCAGGATTAAACTCAACAGAACTAGATTAACAAATGCCCTAACTATTGGAATAGAATGAATAGGATTAAAATCAACTGGTATAAATACAGAGGTAACAGGAGAATAAGGACAGAACCTGGCAGGAGATCCTGGCTAGAGAACCTGGCTAGGCTGCTGATCAACTGAACGCTGTCTCCGTCCACACCTTTGGGAACCCCTGGACCTGCTGGGACAGGACCCCAACAGGCTTCCATTCCTAAAATCTTCATATGCCAAAAGAAAGTCTATTTACGTCCCCCATTGTTAACCCCTTAATGCCCTACATTTTCTCTTTGAATTCTCTCCTCAAACCACTATACCCTCTAGAATCTTCTTCCTTTAGTAAAAGAAAAACCATATAAGCACAACATCACACATTATGTTGTGTATTTCATCTACCATAGAATGAAGGGTAAGGGGTGATAATTTACTGGTTCCTTAATGCCACTTTAGAATTACCACCCTTCTACCCTGGTACCCATGCCATCTGACTGTACCACCATGTACACTTCTACGTTTCTATCATCTACTGCCCTCCTGGCCACATTCTTCAAGACATAACACTCTTCTCCTCAACTCCAACTTATGACATCATTCTGGAAAAACTCAGTGTCTCTGTGGGATATCCACCCAACACCTTAAAACTACTGTTCTTGACCTCAAATACACAATAACAAACCTCACCTCCAGTCAACATAGACTCCCCTGCCAGACATACATCCTGAACCTTGTCATCACTATAGTGGTTCCACAACCAAATTTTTAACTGCAAACATCCTATTTTAGGAAGTGGCTGCCTCTCCTCCAGTGCTCTCAGGACCCTCACTTACACACACCTGCTCTCCAAACTCATGGAGCCCTTCGGTTCCTGAGGTCTTCATTTCCTCACATCTATCAGCCGTCCCCTAAAAAGATTAAAAGTCGTTGGCTATTTGAAATACTCACCAGCAGCACGTTCAAATGCATACATGTATCTTCCTATATTGCACTCCCCTGGCAATCTCCCAACACAGGATCAATTTAGAAAGCTGAGCACTCCTAAGTAACTTATTATAACCACCCAGATTATTGTCATAAACCATATGGTCTCTGATCTTAGGACTTCAATACATCTCCTCAGTCCTCTCACTGGAGCAGCATTCCTTCCTATGTGCCTTAGTAATTATTTTAAACTTATACGTCTCTACTGAGGAACCCTACCAAAGCCTGCGCACCCCACCCCGCCTCACTCTAAGTAGACAACATAATCTTTTTCCTCACAGAAAAAAAGAAAATAGTGGCCAGAAAGGTAAGAAGGAAAGAAGAAAGTGTGGTGTCATAAAAGCAGACCTTTTTTGGAAGAATCCTCTACCTTCTCTATGAGACCATTACATAGAAAAGTTCTCAGGGCTTACCCTAGGCCCTCTTCTCCCCTCGTTTCCAGTATATCTCATTTACTCCTATAGCTTCAATTACCTTCTTTATGTAAATAACTTTGAAATCTCTATTATCAGTTCAGACTATTCTCTATGCACCATTAAAACTTCAACTCAGTATTCTCAACATTTCCACTTATAATATCTAGAAAGCACCTCAAATTCTCATGTTCAAAATTGATATCTCTCTTTCTCTCTCACACACATACACACACTGATTCTCTTATCTCCTCCTCATTAAAAGGTGCCACCACCCAGTTGCTTGAGATAGAAACCTGGTAGTCATCCTTGCCTCCTCCCTCTGCCTCACCCAATTCATCAACACTTTCTACTAACATTATCTCATGACTTCTCTCAGATCCAATCAATTTTCCCTGCTCAAATACTGAACAAAACCCTGTTCAAATAAGGAAGCTAAAGCTGAGAGAGCTTAAGACATTGCACAATGTCACACAATTAGTAGGTCACACAGTAGAGCTGACTCAGACTCATGTCTTCTCCCACAGCCCATGCTTGAAATTAGAGGATCCTGTCTCACTTGGAGGAGCTCTCAGAGCCAAAGATATCTCCAGGAAACACTAATAAAATATGTCAACTGCAGTATGCCTCATAACCCAAGGAAAAAGGGAACTGGGCATAATTAGCCTTCCAGAGAATCTTACAAAGTCAGTGGTAGTTCCAAGAACTACTGTGTCTAGGGCGTGCTCCTAAGGTAGTTTCCATATGAAATCAGAAAATGGCCCTAATGCCCAGAACGAAAAGATGGGGTACAAACAGATGGTGAATAGAGGGAGACTACATCGTGGAATGTGACTACTGAGGGGCATGTGTTGTGAGTAAGAATAATTCTTTGCTTTTTAAGCCACTGAGATTTTGAGGTTGTTTGTTGCCATAGCAAAACCTGGTTTATCCTGGCTGATTTAATCTCTCTGCTTTCATTAAAGTTTATGAGGGCCTCTCACCATTAGATCCAGAAAGAAATAAAGATTGAAATAGCTGCAAAATAGTGTTCTTCCCCTGGAAATTGTTTCTAATAATTTCATTTTTCCTCTTGCTAGGTTCGTGCTCCTCCCTAGTTTCTATTTTACACTTCCGATGTCAGGGAGGATGCCCACAAGGAGGGAATGAGAAGGCATGAATGTCAAAGAGGGGACTGAATAAATGAATGGCAAGTTTTCAGCATCCCCCATAATGAAATTACCTTGAAAATTACATAAGAATAGACAATGAGGCCTAAGAAAAGGGGATATAAATAGGATCCATTTTTCATACAGTATCATCTTTCTAGAGATGCATTTTTATGTCTTCCTCACTGTAGCCAACCAATATGTTCCTTGCACTAGAAGCTGCATTACCTCTATTCAGTGACTCAGAATTTTAAATTACTCTCGGTTAAAAGTGTGGGCTTTGGGATCTAACAGAAATAGGGTTGTGTCCTGGTTTCTGTCACTTTCCAACTGTGTGACCCAAAATGAGGACAATAATCATATCCATCTCATAGTGTCCGTGAGGTTTGAACCATCAGTAAATGTACAGTGTTTATTGCAGTGGAAGGCAGGGCTTCATAGCTGCTCGCTAGTATTTGTAGCAGTAATACTATCATTTTCATCATTATTGCTGTTTTCACTATATAACAGATAATCAAGGACAGGTTTTTGTGTATCTGATCCATAGCAGCTGGGTCTGGAAGGCAAGAGAATGTGAAGGCTCTTTTGGAAGATGGGAAAAATCATTTCCAACTTACATGCAAACTGAAGATCACATGGCTCTTCTGGGTGACGTATGAGTTAATTTCTGGAAAGGAATCAAGAGACGATCTCTGTAAAATTCATGTTTTTTAAATTTAGTACTTATTGTTATCAAAGCAGTTCACGTACATTTGGAGGCAAATCTTACTGCCATAAGGCTTATAAGAAAAAACAATAGTCACCTGTTCGGGGTGGTGTAGAGGTGAACTCAAAACATTTGTTGCTTTATGGTAAGGATGAGGGAAAGGCCATATCTCGAATGACTCCCAGTTTTGGGGAGAGGGCTGAGCACCTGGGTGGATGGTAGGCCCATTCGCTAAGAATGAGAAGACTAGTGGAAGAGCAGGATTTCCAGCAACTTTTGGGGAGAGGGCTGAGCACCTACCTGGGTGGATGATAGGCCCATTCGCTAAGAACGAGAAGACTAGTGGAAGAGCAGGATTTCCAGCAGAATGGGGAGCAAAGAATCAAGAGTTCTGATTTGGGCCTAGTGCAGTGGTCGGCAAACCGTGGCTCATGAGCCACATGTGGCTCTTTGGCCCCTTGAGTGTGGCTCTTCCACAAAATACCACGTGCAGGCGCGCACATACAGTGCGATTGAAACTTCGTGGCCCATGCACAGAAGTCAGTTTTTGGCCTGGGCGAGTCTATTTTGAAGAAGTGGCGTTAGAAGAAGTGGGGGTACGTTCGCTGATGTCGACTCCTCAGATTGAGGATGTGTTTAGCAAAGGCCAGCTTAGGAGTCCCCTAATTAAGTTAATAACAATGTACCTACCTATATAGTTTAAGTTTAAAAAATTTGGCTCGCAAAAGAAATTTCAAACGTTGTACTGTTGATATGTGGCTGTTGACTAATGAGTTTGCTGACCACTGGCCTAGTGGACAGCAAATGTAAAGCAAAAATGTTGGGTAGACAATTTGATATGCAGCCTAGAGGTCAGGGCACGGGTCATGGGAAAAGTTACTGATTTGGAAGTCACTGGCCTGTAGATGTTAAATATTTTCTATTTAAATGATAGGAACTTGGGAGAAGGAGCTAAAAGACTGATGATGAAGCCTTTCAACGTGTAGAAGTGAGACTGAGGAAGAGTGAGCAGGAAAAGTGACTGAGAAGCAGTGGCCGGTAAGACTGGCAAAGAGCCAGGAGGGTGTGGTGGCTCTGGGGTAAACATGGTTCAAGGAAGAGGACACAGTCAACCGTACATATAGCTCAGTGTTCACAAGATAAACACAGCCATCCTTTATTTCCCTGCCTCTACCCTTCACGGACTGCTGTGCTTTCGCTCTTATTACTCTCTTGCCCTGCAGTGCCTCCTCACCTGCCAAAATCTCATCTCCCCTTCCTGAC